TCCACCCCTGTTGAGTGAGGAATTTTCTATATGCACATGTGTGACCTCCCTGACCCCCTGGGTTTCAGACATTCAAGTTATATACCCTGGACCCCCCAGGAAAGTGCCCTTTAGCAGCTGGTTTGGCGATGGGACACTTCTTGGCAATTTTGCTATCTCTAGGTTCCTGGGGAGATGTTTTATAGCCCAATGAATTAACTAATAAAAATTGCTAAAAATTCATTGATACAACAAATTTTGCATTTCATTTTTCAGTTTGTGCCCATCTCTAGCTATTATACACTATAAGAAACATGACAGCCACTCACATTTCTGGTAGCCAACTGATTGGCTGCAATTTTATTAGAAGCAAAATTATAAGAGCCTGTTGAGCATCGCAGCTGGGCAGCTGGTTTTTCTTATTTACAGCAAAATATTAAGGTAAAGAGCCATTTAGTCACCTAGTTTGAACAGCTCTGTTGACAGTCTTTGTGTCCAAGTTTTTCCATTTCCAGCACACTTATGAGATGATTTAAAGGCATGCTTTGAACCTGTGAAGAGAGGGCAAATTGACGTAGGGCACCCCTTTAACATTTTTAATCAAAAGAATTGATAAAATATTAATTTGGCTATCTTATCCTGTGCCTTCTCATCAAAGTGAATAGAGATACATTTAATAACACATGGAAACATGATAGCCTTTTTATCAGGATAGAAGAGAACCTTCATGGAACAAACATGTTGACTTCAGGATCATTTTCATCTATGAAGTTAAGGTTTTTTTCAAATTTTAAGTGCCCTCCTCTTTTCCTTAGACCGTCTAGGAAATACCTGAAGGTGCTACAACATGACCCTATGGGATAACCAAGGTCTATAAGGCAGCTTAATAATCAGCCATCTTTTTTCATTATTGGTCTATTCAGTATTCTAAGTCACTCAACCCTTTATCATCCACAAAAAGCAATTAATTCTAATTGCATAATTTATCACGTTCTCTTACTTGGCAATGAGAAAATTCATTGGACTTAAATTATTTTATATAAAACTAAGGTTTTGATGTAAGCTGAGTTCCTCTTTTCAGGCTTTTCCTCAGATCTGAATGACTCCCCTGCTTTCTGAGTCCTTGCTTGTCTTGATGTTGGCTCACAACTTGCATGGAATCCACTTACATCTCCTCATTCAATGATTCAATCAGAACTTACTTGCAGCTGGATGTGTAATCTACCTTTTAACTACCATGTTGAAAAATCTTTTGGGTAATGAGATTTTTCTCCTGTAATTCTCTTGAAGTGACCAAATTCCCTTTAGAATTGTCTTTCTTGGTAAAGTTTTTCAGATAAGGTTTCATTTAAAATCTCATTTTTTTCCCTGAGAATTCTTTGCCAGCTTGTTATTTGGTACATGTGGATGATGCCACATAAATGTCCAAGCAGAAGCTATGACGAAAAGATATTTGGAAATTCAGCATTGATTTCCCCCCCAGAACAAACACATCTGGGCATAAATTCTATAGCTGGGTTTTGGATAGCAAAATTAAGTTTGCTGTTGAAATTTAAGATCACAGCTGGAGTTGAATTCCAAATGAATCTCATAAATTTTCAAGAGGGCTAGGAAAAATGTAAACCATTTTGCATCTTGAGATTCATCTTGAAAATCCGAGATACCAGAATAAAATGTGAAATGACTATGCACATGTCTATTCAGAACTGATTTCCACTGAGATCAGGGGGACTTTTTCTTAAATGTCCAGGATTGAAACTTCACTATGTATGTATTTATTTCAAATATTTTTATTCCAGCTTTCTCTTTAAAAAGAATCCAACATAACTTACATCATTAAAAGACAATATTTAAAGCTAAAAATGTTGTGCCAGCAGGCTTCTAGTCTTCTAAAGGAGCTTTCCCTTTCAATCTACAGAATTGGCTCTGAAGAATCTCTCAAGCCTCCAGAGCAGATTTTGAATACACATGACAGAAATGCAGAGCGATAAAGCGAACTACCCACTCTCCATTTTATTGGAAAAATATAAACTAGTATGTTTTTGAAGAAGATAGAGAAGGCATGAGGGCAAATCACACAGCACAAATATGCTGTTGCATGGGTTGGGCAAATAGCAATGTTTAAATCTGAAGCAACTTTTCATCTGAGCTATTCTGCCAGAATGGAGAGAGATATTTACAGACAGAGTGAAATAACAATATCCTGCCCTAGTTCCTAGTCCACATTTTGATAAAGCAATGCACCTCTGTATCTCTTTTATTCTGTGCAAGATTAATTTATCTATATGCTGCCTCCCCCACCCCAAATGGAACTCATGTGGTTGTGGGTTTTTTTTTTTTTTGGTGGGGGGTGGTGAAGAGAGTTAAAAACAATGCCATCAAAACACTATGGCCAGAATCCATTGGTTACAAACACTGGTCTGCAAAAAACTACAGCAGTGAATTGCCATTGGTTAATAATTTGCAACCTATATTCCTCATCACACTTCAGCCACATAAGTTGATGAGGGATAAAACTGGCAACTAGAAATGAGCGCAAATCAAACCACTTACCAGAAAAACTGATGAACTGTGCTGGTTCATGGTTCAGTTTATGACCTGGTTCAGGAATCCCATTTTGCCAAAGCAAAATGAAGCACCCAACTTTTTTCCCCCTCGGCATTTCATTTTGCTTCAGCAAAATAGGATGCCCTCCTGCCTCATCCCACTGCCCCTGCTGCCTCCATATCTTCTTCTGCCACTGCTGCCAGTTCCTTCTCCTCCTCTGCCACTGCCATGCTCAGAGGTAGCGGGCGTGGCTTCCTTGCCAGGAGCTGGGCCCGTTGCTTCCGAGCGTGCACCCAGCTATCAGCTGGGTAGCAGTTGAATACACAGAGACAGTGGCGAACTTCAGGAAGCCAGGCCTCCTGCTTCTGCACATGTGTCCCTAACAGAGCAGAATCAAACTAGATTTTAGTATAACCCTTAGCAAAGAAAACATAGGCCTAGATCAGCGTAGTTGGCATCACTACCCAACGAAAAGACTGGATCCAAAGTTGGGGTACAAATGACGAATAGAATTGTAACATTTTATGACTTTTTCTCTGTATCTTATAAAACATATGTACACTGTTTTTTCGGGGTCTTCTCTGCTTTTAAGAGCAGTAGTTCTTAGCCTTTTTGAAAGAAACGCCCCCTTGAGCCATTGAGGAAGTTGTCATTGCCCCCCTCCCCGCAGCGGCGGCACGGCGCTGCCGGAGGGAAAGCAGCGATGATAACTTCCTCAATGGAGGCGGCACCACCACATCTGCTGCCAGCACCCGCTGCTCTGGATCTGGCGGCGCAGGGAGGAGGGCAATGATAACTTCCTTATCACCCTCCTTCTGTTTCTTCACCCCCGCATCGCCCCTTTTCGTTCCATCACCACCCTGAAAAATGAAATCATCCCCTGGGGGGGGGCGATATCGCCCAGGTTAAGAACCATTGTTTTAAGAGAAGTCCCAACTTACCTTTTCTTTGCTGCTATTAAAATAAAATTGGCCTTTGGTTCAGCTGTTGTGTCTGTGCCTGATTCCTTGCCAGAGGATCTTAGAACCCAGGTTTGGCTGGTAACATGTCTGCCAGCCAGCTGAGAGGCAGGCACATGCTCAGACGAGCAGGCCCTGCTCCTGACAGGGAAACCTGGCCCACTGCCTATGAGGATGGTGGCAATGATGGTGGTGGTGGTGGTGGTGGAGGTATCAGTGGCAGGAATACATAGGGAGGTGACAGGGCAGCAGAAGAGGGAGGGGTGCCAATTATGGGGAGCAGGCAGAGAGTAGGAGCAGGTAGGGCCCCTTGACTGAGCTGGAAAATGAACCATGAACTGGTTAATTTTTCTGGGGATTCATGGTGGTTCATGGTTTGTGCTTATCCTTGGACTATGAAACACCAGTTTTCTGGTTTATGTCCATCTCTAGTAGCAAACAATGTACCCTCTAATTTTCAATCCTATTGAGAGGGGCTCCACTTCTCTCTTGAACGGCTTCATCCCTGTGTGCCCATAGGACTCCACCCCACGCGCACTGGGTTCTGTCGCAACCAGGACCTAATGCGATCATTGTGCGGAGAAGGAAGAGAGCTGTGTGAAGGGAAGCGGAGTCATGCATATGCATGCAAATGCCCAGCTTTGTGGGGATCTTGGTGGCAACTCATTCACTAGCAGCAGTTTTCTATTGCTATTTATGCTATTGCACTTACTGTGACATAACTAACCAACCAAACTCTGGCTAGCATGGTGCAAAGAGTAAAATAGAATTAAACTCATTATAGTATTACAAGACAATTAAAATTAGAACACTCTAAAACCTCTTAATTAAAATAGTAATAAAATTACTCTCAAAAGAAAAAAAAGAGTGCCTTTTCCTGCTGTGTATTATCCCATGGGAACCAGAAATGAAACTCACCTCCTTCTTATGTATGCAAAGATGACTTTGCAAGACTTCATCAGCCGATTGCAGAGCAGCCAATTAAAGAGGCAGGTGCTGCAGTCTGTATGTCTTCGTAGGAGCCATATTACCATATACCCTATGAAATAGCTGTTGAAGATTTTGTATCTGTGCACAGCTGAGTCCCTATGATGAATGTTGATTAATTAGGAGAATCTTGTATGCTAAAGCAGAAGAAAATGTGCTTTCAACCAGAAAGAGAGGTTTCTGGGTATACAAGCCTTTTTTATTTTATTAATGCTTTTTTGGTATTTTTAAGCATGAAGGAATAGTAAATCACTCAGTAAATAGGAGTTTTCTTCCTTTAAAAAACACACACTCTACAACTGCATGCTCATTGATCTAAATCTCTTTTATTTGATCAGCCATTTCTTTCCGTTTCTACTAGATGTTTAATAATATATATTAATATGTATGGACAATTCAGAGGAGAGCTCTGGCTGCTAAGGGGGTGTTAAACAAACAGTAAAATATATTTCAAATGTACTTTAGTAAGAATTATATATGGTGAAATAAATGTATTGCTTGACTGTAAATATTCTTTCTTATGCACAGGTCCAGCTCCTCAACTGTTTTTACCACATACCCCAGCAATTACACCTGCACTCCCAGCTGCTGAAGGCAAGTTCAGTTTTCCTTCCTCAAAGATTCTAAATCTTTTTAACAGTAATTCCAGCTTGTCAATAATCTTCTTCCCCAACTGCACTGCTCAGAACTGAACATAATGCTCAAACTGTTTATCCCTGTGTCTCTTCCGTTCAACCTCCTTTCTGCCCACACAGTTCCTTTCCCTGTTCACCCTTTCTTCAATTTCATGTATCTGTGAAACCACTAAGTTCCATATCATCTTCTGAGACATTATATTGCAGCCTACACTGTTCCAGAACTTTATACACACAAGTTAAAAATGGCCAGGGTGTGAGTGTGATGGAGACACAATGTCTATTTGCTCTATAAGAGAAAAGTGTAATTCTTTTTCAAAGAAAGTTTTGCAAAATTTTATGAAGTCTTTCAGTCTCATTACAGCATAACCTGATTGTTGTTGTTTAGTCATTAAGTTGTGTCCGACTCTTTGTGATCCTGTGGACCAGAGCATGTCAGGCCCTCCTGTCTTCCACTGCCTCCTGGAGTTGGGCCAAATTCATGTTGGTAGTTTTGATGACACTGTCCAACCATCTCGTCCTCTGTTGTCCCCTTCTCCTCTTGCCTTCACATTTTCCCAACATCAGGGTCTTTTCCAGGGAGTCTTCTCTTCTCATGAGATGGCCAAAGTATTGGAGCCTCAGCTTCAGGATCTGTCCTTCCAGTGAGCACTCCGGGTTGATTTCCTTCAGAATGGATAGGTTTGTTCTCCTTGCAGGCCAGGGGACTCTCAGGAGTCTCCTCCAGCACCACAATTCAAAAGCATCAATTCTTCGGTGGTCAGCCTTCTTTATGGTCCAGCTATCACTTCCATACATTGCTACTGGAAAAACCATAGCTTTGACTATGCAGACCTTTGTTGGCAAGGTGAGGTCTCTGCTTTTTAAGATGCTGTCTAGGTTTGTCATTGCTTTCCTCCCAAGAAGCAGGCATCTTCTAATTTCGTGGCTGCTGTCACCATCTGCAGTGATCATGGAGCCCAAGAAAGTAAAATCTGTCACTGCCTCCATATCTTCCCTTTCTATTTGCCATGAGGTGATGGGCCCAGTGGCCATGATCTTAATTTTTCTGATGTTGAGCTTCAGACCATTTTTGGCACTCTCCTCTTTCACCCTCATTACGAAGTTTTTTGATTCCTTCTCACCTTCTGCCATCAGAGTGGTATCATCTGCATATCAGAGGTTGATATTTCTTCCGGCAATCTTAATTCCGGTTTGGGATTCCTCCAGTCCAGCCTTTTGCACTATTTATTATGCATATAAGTTAAATAAGCAGGGAGACAATATACAGCCTTGTTGTACACTAATCAGTTATTCCATATCCAGTTCTATCTGTTGCTTCCTGTCCCACATACAGACTTCTCAGACGATAGATAAGGTGGTCAGGCACTCCCATTTCTTTAAGGACTTGCTATAGTCTGCTATGGTCCACACAGTCAAAGGCTTTTGTGTAGTCAATAAAGTCAATGAAGTCAATGAAGCAGAAGTAAATGTTTTTCTGGAGCTCTCTGGCTTTCTCCATAATCCAGCACATGTTATCAATTTGGTCTCTAGTTCCTCTGCCCCTTTGAAATCCAGCTTGTACTTCTGGGTGTTCTCGGTCCACATACTGCTGAAGCCTAAGGATTTTGAGCATAACTTTGCTAGTGTGTGAAATGAGTGCAATTGTACAATAGTTGGAGCATTCTTTGGCACTGTCCTTCTTTGGGACTGGGATGTAGACTGATCTTTTCAATCCTCTGGTCACTGCTGAGTTTTTCAAACTTGCTGGCATATTGAGTGTAGCACCTTAACAGTGTTCATTTACCAGGACACAATAGAATTCATTCCAGAAAAGGGAAGGGAAGGAGCATTCAGGTCATTTGACATAAAGAAATGACATGTTATGGAGAACATGTCGGCTGGAGCTGTGGCCAAGGAAACAAGGCTAGCCTGTGCAATTGACTTTGGAATTATGAAGAAGTAATAATTCTGAGGACTGCATGTAGAAATACACTTAGTATTATTTGGAACAGATGTAACACCTTGAATTTCAAACATATTGAGCAAAGATTAACAAAATAATGATTAAAAATGCACAGATGATTATTTTTTTGTGAAAGTGACATTAACAAAGCAATTTTCTAGAAGGACATATAAAACTGTAGGTTTCAACAGAAAGACATAAAGCATATGAGAGGATAAATGATAGTTTTCTACAGAAAAGAGAGTTGCAAAACTCAGAAATCTCATAATGTGCCGTTTCCACACTATGAGCCTACAGAATAGATGGAAGATCGAACAATATGCTTGATACAGGTGTATTTAGCTTTATGACAGCCCCAATGTCAGTTTCTCGTTCATCCACCTCAACCCATTGCTTAAGTATCCATTTCCTTTGTCTGCCCAAGCAGCAGCAGCCAATAATATGGGCTAGTGATGCACACGGTATATCTGATAAAATTATTATGGAGAAACATCATAAGAAGAAACTAGATTTCTACTTTGTGCACAAATGAAGCTCTAGATCTTTCTTCTTCAAGTGAAGAAAGCTAATGCCATTTACTATGAAGTAACTTTCTCTAATTCAAGTTTTAGGATTTCAACTTGATGGGTCTAACCCTGAGAAGCAGTAGGATGACAGTTTACAAACACTGGTTCCCAATCCTGTTGGAGAAGATGTAGAGATGTAGTTTTGTTTCTGAAGACCGCCATCTTAAGGCCTTTTGGTTATTTCTAGACCCAACCTGTTACTCCTGGAGCTCAGTGTCTTAGCTCATTCTATTAAGCCAAGTCTCGAGCAATAATAATAAACAGACAGTTGCTTGGAAGAAAGGGTACCAAGTTTATTCAAGTAAAACAAATGCACACTCTGGTGCCCAGTAGGGTGGGGACTCTGAGTTTACCAGGTTTCATGTTTTTATACAGTTCTGAAAAAAGAACACTACTATGCAGCAGTTGATTGGTCCCTGAGAAATGTATACTCATTCATTAGAATTTCTTGCATTTCAGCGAAGCAGTTACCCATGCGCAGAGCAACTTAACACTAAGGAATGTTGAGTTCTCCTTGCAAGGCACTTGATTCTCTGCAGCAGTTTATTCCTCCTTACAAACCAGTAAAGTGTTTTTGTAGGTGACTTGAATATTGACTTGAGTATTGCAAGATCCTTGTTCTTTACTTTCCAACATTTTCTTTGGTACATGCTGTCCGAGTTCCACAGTACTTGGTCACGTGATTTGTATGGACGGATTTGAAACACAGAATGGAAAGTGAGGCCTGCTTCAATAAGTTCAATGGGACTGCTCTAACAACAACTTACTTTGACATAGTATGGAAAAACCAGAGTAGGCCCATGTCAATCAGTGGAACTTATGGAGGAACTGACTCGCCAAATCCCTATTGATTCAATGGGCCTACTATGGCATCATTTATCATGCTAAGGAACAGTATTTCAACCACTGTATAAAATATTTAAGCTGCATCATTATATGACAGTGAAGTATAGATCTTTCAAACATATGCAATATGTCATTCTACATATTGCTTCCATTTGTATTATTTGTAGTTTATATGAGTTGGTTGTTAACTGCCCCGAGACTGTGTGTCACATTATTGGGTAGTATATAAGTTAAATATATAAATAAATTTATAAATCTAAAAAATTGGATGATATTTTGATGAAAAAAGTGGCAATATATTATATAACTGCCACATCCAAAATTACAAGTGGAAGCATGCAGCTGGCTTTAATAACTTGCAATTTAAAACAGTTATTTTATGCTCTGTTTCATGCAACTCTGGAATATAGCATTATTCTTTAAAATGCATATATTAGGATGTTATTACAGAAACTGGACTTGTAAGCAAGCAGCCCATTTCATAATACAACGCTGCTGACATTTGGGCACGTCTCCTTGTCTATTTGCTAATTTGAATCCAAAGGACAGCCTACATTTTAAGTTCTAGTAATTTTGCTTTTGTGTACATTTTACATACACACACACCCACATGGACCCTCAGTCTTGTGAAAAAAACTGCTTTTCTGATGAATAGCAGTGGGCATTTTGGGTTCTTGTATATGCCTTTCAACCTCCAAAATGTCCCCTTTCTTGCTTGTTAGCTAGCCCGCTTGTTAGCAGAATTAAGGAGGGAGAGATTTATGCCTGCTTGTTAGAAATAACAGCTATGCAAAGAAATCAGAAAGCCTTAGTTAATTAGATCTATCATTTTAATTGAGGATACTTTAACCAGCTTAATTACTTCAGTATTTGAATGCAGTTCAGCTGTATGCTTCAGCAGTCTTTTAGAATGTACAACTTATTTCTTTTGAGTTCTTTATTTTTATAATTTTAATAATATTCTATATTTTACTCAAGTGTGGTTCTTGGAAAAGAGGGAGTGAGTGGCTCAACCAGAAACCTTTGCCTTTGGCAAAGTCTTGCTATTTTATTGTTTGGGTGACCTACCTTGTCTGGTTGGTGTTAGTCATAAAAATGCAACCAGGAATATTTCTGTCCCGAGGAAGCTGACAGATGGAAACTTAGGTACAGAAGCTTGTCTTTGTTTACCAGGACATGCATCTTTAGGTGTTCACCCAGCCTGGGAACAAAGGATGGTAATCTTTGGGATCAGAGAGGCTCTTTCTAAGTGGAATTACCTTCTTACGATGAGATAAGGAGGGGCTGGTTCCCTTACATGGTAAATACACACACACACATACACATTCAGCAATTTCTATGTATGTATGTATGTGTGTATGTGTGTATGTGTGTATGTGTGTATGTATGTATGTATGTATGTATGTATGTATGTATGTATGTATGTATGTATGTATGTATGTATGTATGTATGTAAGTAAGTAAGTAAGTAAATAGAACTTCAGATTGCTGGCATGTCTGTCCATTATCTGTCTAAATAGCAGGATCACATCTGTCCATTATCTGTCCAAGTCCACTTCCTATCCAGATGTAAAAGTGACTGCTACTGAGATGGACAACTTT